TTTTTCCTTCTTTTTGGAGCATTAGAAAATTTCCTCTTGACAGCGATGGCCTATGACCGGTTTGTGGCTATCTGTCATCCACTGCACTACATGGTTATCATGAACCCCAAGTCATGTGGCCTCTTGCTTCTAGCATCCTGGATGTTGAGTGTTCTGAACTCTCTAGCATATACTTTAATGGCTTTGAGACTGTCGTTTTGTACAGAATTGGAAATTTCCCACTTTTTCTGTGAATATAATCAGGTACTACAACTTGCTTGTTCTGACACTTTCCTCAATTATTTAGAGATGTACTTTGCAGTTGGACTTTTAGCTGTTATTCCACTCACTGGGATACTTTTCTCTTACATTAAGATCTTGTCTTCTATTGTGAGAATTTCATCAACTGGAGACAGGTCTAAAGCCTTTTCCACTTGTGGGTCTCACTTCTCAGTTATTTGCTTGTTCTATGGTACATCACTTGGAGTTTACCTTAGTTCTTCTGCTTCCCCAAACTCCAGGGCCACTGCAATAACCTCAGTTATGTACACTGTGGTCACTCCCATGCTGAACCCCTTTATCTATAGTCTTAGAAATAAGGACATAAAACAGAGCCTAAGAAAACTTTTCAACTGAGAAACAGTGTCTACATAACAAAATGATTTTTCTCTAGACTGGAGAGTTATTAATGAGCAACAGAGCTCAAAACCACTTAATCATACTTCCATTAGTTCATAACTCTGCATTATTTCCAGAATGCAATCTCCTTTAAGTTGATACATTTCAAGCAATTGTTTCTTGTGTATTTCTTTTTTTTTTAAAAAAAACATTTTTTATCCAAAACTTTCCCTTCAGGAGTAAATTTCTTTTGGGTGACCACAGATAATTCAGGATAAAACAGATCTTCCACTGCAAGCCATGGAGTACCATCCCACAACTGTCTCATAGGAACAGTGCCATTGTTGTCTTCAAACCCAAAAAGTTCAGTTATCAATTTCTAGATTCCTCTTTTGGAAGGTCTGTTTCTTATCACAGCTCAGGCATGAAATATTCAGTGTCTGATTTATATTCTATAAACAGAACTTCTTCAGGTTGGAAGTCACTTAAAGATGACTGGAGAAGATCTATTCAAAGTAGAGTTGGCCATGATATGAGTGGAGTAAAGCTTTCAGGTCTTCATTTGCTAATGTGGATCAGCTCAAAATAAGGAATAACAGTAGCAAACATCCATTAATAATCAGAATATGGAATGTCTATAGTATGAATCTAGAAAAAAA